GCATATTTATAACACTTCGATGTTTAGGTGTGTGTGTGTGTGTGTGTGTGTGTATGTTGGGCTGTTGCACTTCTGCTCACTCCTTTGTGCACGCGACCGCACCTCTCTTGCCGATTCTTTTGTCCCCCCCTCAATTCCTCCAACACCTTTAATTTTTTCCTACTGTGTTTCCACTGACGTATGTTTGGACCTGTCCCTCGTTTTCTCCGTTTCCGATGCATACACTGCTAGTTGGTTCATTAGAGTGTAGCCGATTGACGACGGCTGATAAGTCGGAAACGACAGCCCCAGTCTTCTCCGTATAGTTACTGTCCGCTGTGTGATTGCCTGCTCTCGCAAATTAACTAAGTGATTAGGGACGCTTTTGGCCTGATAATATGTACCGGCCTGTTAAAATTCCTTTGCCTACTGATCAAAGTTCAAGCACTCGCCACAGGAAGCTGCCGTGTTGCTAACTGGAAGCCGCTATCCCCAAATGTATATTCCCTTGCGTGTTCCGAAAAGTAACATTACATTCTCCGTGAAAACCAACTTCACTAAAAGGCACTTGTGTTAGGTTGCTTATTCTTGCCACAGCCGTAGATTGAGAGCCAGATATGATCCATTTTATTCACTGTGCAAGTCGTAAAGGGTGTTTTGAAATGTACCAAACACCCTCGGTCATGGCATATCGAAGCCGTTTGAAGTGGTTGGTCGAACACGCCTCCACGATATGTCCTCTGACTGTCCACTTGATGAGAAACAACTTCGCGGAAATGGTTAACTTGCAGCAGCTTCTAAAGTAGTATTCAGACTGACTCCTATTCATCGCATAGAGCTAATTGATATTTTAACCTAGGCTCAGCGCGTTCACATGCTGAAAATCAGTTTGCATTCAGGTGTCGGTTTATTAGGCATATGACCCGATCCGGTCCTTTCGGTATGGGAGAGGTATCGAGAAAGGCGCATTGAAACGGTCCTAGTAACTGCACTGTTTCGGCTTAACACCAAAGCGCTAATGTATCTGGAAAGTCATTGCCTGCTTTATCATGATATACTCACTTTAGCAATAAAATCTTCACGGATTATTTGTCATTGGTGTTGGGTTTTCTTTTAAAAGTGTGTATATGGTTTGCCCTTATACTAACTAACGTCTAATGATAACCAATCAGAAATGAAAGCCTTATGTTTAGTCCAAACTTCAGCCTTTCATGTCATTTCCCTATTCTCATGTTAACCAGCGTGAGAAAAACTTCGCATTCTAACCCTTAGGATGACCTAAGTAGCCCTTTCCCGGCCCTAGGTCACGCTCCTTCGTCTTTTGCACCATAATTGTCGGCTACAGCACTCACTCAATGTACCTGTGTAACATCGTGTGTTCTGAACCCCTCCCCTTACTGATTGGCTTTGCCTTTTTGTGCAACAGGGTTACGAGTACTGAATCAACGCCTCCGCTCACTCTTGGCCGTCTTGTCAATGCTGCTGGCCGCACTAACCTGGCCGGGGTTGGTGTTTCTCAGGGGAGTGCGCCCGCTGCTAATCCGACTCCTACCGCCAATACCAGTATGTTCTCACGTCTAAATCCCGAGAGGCGCACCATACACACTGCTAATCCGCAGCTACTGGATCTCGATCCCAACTTCCCGGACAGTGCACATGACACGACAACGGTTGCCGCTCGAAACATTAGCCTACCAGTTTCCACCTCTGGCGCAGCTGGTTTCTTTAAAAGCTTTAAAACAAAGATTGGAATAGGGTAAGTTTCCAGTCCCATTTTAATTAGTTTTTACAAATTCATATGCTTATTTTCTATGCAGACTTCCTTCAACCGCACTCACTTGTGGTGGGAGCACTAGGCACCCTCGTTCTACTCGTAGGTGCTCCTTACAGGGGGCTGCTCCCAGCCATGGCTTCCTCCAACCTTCCTTCATTCTGTACATGCACTGTCTGGCTATTTGTCAGCAGTTGGGGATATTTTTCATCGCTGTTTATTTGTTGACTCCTATGGTGTGTTTGCTCACAAAACACAATCTACCCATTCGTTTGCTTTCCAATTTCCCTGATGCTTTGTGAATTTTTAAAACCCCGGCTACCGTATGCGTGCCCTTACTGTTTAACATTTGACTTAGCTGTGCGTTAGCGATAGTGTTCCATTGAAAAAAGGAGCTTTGAGCGTTCTCATCGCATTAAATCTGCTTAACCACATCGTCAAATTTAATATACATTTCTCATCCCGACTGCATCCATCCTGTCACATATTTATGTCCTCATTATTGTCTTCTCTAGTTGTGCATTATGAGCGCAATACGTCTGTTGCTTTACTCTAGTTCCTGTTTGTATGGCAAACTCGGTGTGTGGTGTTTGGCCGGAAACTGGAAACGGGTGACTGGAACGACCTTCTTGTCGTTTTTACAGTCTTTAGTGGGTCTTAACTTCTAGCCCAAAACTTCCGAAGACCTGTGGATTTTTAAACACGGTCTCGAGTGGAGTATCCGCACACTAGCACGCATTTTTTACTGATATTACCGCTGCTGAACTAACCGCCCCTAAAGTTCATGGCAGTTGTGATCGTTGGCCCGTGATTATTTTCGGCATAGTCAGCTTTCGATCTTTTCACTGCATTCCGCAGCGACGCTTCTCGCGGACTGTGATCTGGAATTGTAGGGCGATGATTTCCAACTAAAGACAAACGTCCCGGACATACACGCTTTTTAAATAATATTGACGTTTTCGAGTGCTTGACATCACGTGATTAACCGTAGGAACCCTAGCCTGGGCCTCCAAAATAAAATGGGGAATCTATCGTTCAGTCAGGGCAGCTTTATTAACTCCACTCCTACATGACTCTCGGACAGTGCCAATCGCAGTGCGACCGTTCGGGTTCGCCAAATAAAAATCCAAACGCTTGGTGCTATGGGCCTGGCTGCTGATTACTTACTTTTACGCATCTAAGAATTCTGTAGTGTTCATGCCTGACTGTTATCTCAATTTGCAGCAAAAGTAACCCCACGAACCCGGCGCCTGCCATG